TGCGTTAAAAACTTCATTTACTTTAGTGCTTAAACCTTGAACATTCCAGCATCCAAAATTCATAGACCTTTGCCTTTGTCGACGTCGTGAGTTAATCCGAGGCTCATTTCCATTGAGAGTTTGAGCGACTTTTTTTATTTTCTGAGTATGGGGGTGCTGGCCCCATTCCGCAACCCCCTTCCAGGGGGACCGGGTAATTTTCTTTTAGGGTTTTCTTCTTTTAGATTGAGTGTCTTCCAAGACTCCGGAGCTCAATCTACCCCTATTTGAAGCACTTCTGCTTCTGAACAGGAAAAAGGGAATGGTAAGACCATCAAAAGTGCCTTATTTGAAACGAGGCGCCAAATTTGAAGGAATTTGGCGTCAATGTGCCAAATAGCTTCAAATCGTGTCGGTCATTGAAATGAGCTTCAAATGTAATTTTGGCGGAGCCGAGACTGTTATGAAATGAGGGGAGACTGAGCGGTGTGGCAATGGAGAATAGAGGTTTCACTACCGCATTGCATGGTCTTGTCTCGACGGGAACAGGAATAAACGTCAATATTAACGGTGAAATGAAAGATTTTTTAGCCAGTAGACATTCGGCTCGATTCTTCTTAAGATTCAAAATGGCCTTTGTTAGAATATCCTTATGTTACCAATATCTTTATATCGCTCATTTCAATGACCGATTCTTTGGTATTTCAATCCATGAAAGAAAATACAATTTTGATGAATCATTGGCAATATGCCTCAATCTGATAGTTAATATCGGTGTTTATTACTTTGTCCTAGTCACGACCACGGATTGCTGTAAGTGCACCTGTTCCTTTTTCTGCCACCCCTCTACCTCCCTACGAAGTAACAGTCCCGGCACAGCGAAGTGAAGGCCGCCTTCCCCAAAGTCGGTAGTTGCAACTGTTACCGCAGGACATTGTGTGAGTTTAGTGTAAAATCACACGTTAGAAAGTATTGTATTCTATTTCATGATAACGTACTATAGAAATTAAAATACCAAGCCCTAAAAAACCTTCGCAAACCGTAAATACCAAATAAATCATTAAAAAATATAATTCATTTTGAAATTCTCCCAACCAAAATATCAATAAAAGAAGTAAATAATACTATATTCTCTAAACTTGACAAAATAATTAACATGTGCTTCCGCTTAGAACAATAAATCCAGATACCACTAAAATAACAAAACATTACTACTACTACTACTAAACAAAAAATGCAAACATTATGCTTTAATAGTTTAATATAAAACATTGGTCTTGTAAACCAAAATTAAGAACATCTTTTAAAACTTCAGAG